GTTTGTGTAACATTCGAAATAACACTTCCTTCTTCGTTGAAAAGAACTTGATTGCCAGTGCCCACAACAAGTTGAGAAACACTAATCAAGTTATGTTGAAGACCTTCAACATATGCAACACGATTCACTGTGAATTGTCCATTTGTGATTTTTCCATATCCCATGACTTGACACTTTTGATTGTTCCCAAACTTTACTACTCCAGCATTTTTGAGACTTCGAAAATCTCTTAAATTCTCCTTCTTTCCAGTCATGTGACGAGAGCAACCACTATCAATGTACCATTTGTTATCATATTGCTCGTCACACAATACCTGCAATCAATGAAAAATTTTAGGTACCCAAGGCTTTTTGGGTCCTTGGAAATTAGATTTCAATTTCGAATGAAATGAAGAACTTTTAACCCAATCACAAACTTTGGTTTTGAGACTATCAATTAAGTTCACTTCATCATCTAAAGGAACTGAAACATAAGTGTTTGATAGTTTTCGAATGTTCACTGACTTTTCCCTTCGCATCTTGAGTTTGTGATTGAACAGTCTTCGCTTTTGTGACAGGTCTCCATGTTTTGACTGAGATATTCGAATCCTTAGATGATGAGCTGCCATTCGAAGAAGTATTGACATACTTTTCGTATGCTTCATGAATTTGCTCTTTTGAATATTTATTTGACTGATACATTTTTCCTCTTCCGTCAAGCCAATGATCAATGTTCTTCCTTGAAGTCATTCCTTTTTCCCGTGACGTCCTCATAGTTTCTTTCTTTGTGTAATTAGGAAAATTTGGCTTTGAGGTACAAAATCAACTTTGGGTTTTGTAACATAAGAGTAAGCATAGGATGTATCAATTTTTGATTTAAAATGTTGACGTTGAAAAACTTTTTGATTTGAATTGGATTTTTCTTTCTGAAAAATCTCTTGTTTTGTTAGTTTCAGAAACTTTCGAAAACTTTGTTTGCTTATGTACTTCAGACCTTGTTTGATTTGATTGAGATGATTGTTGAGTTTTTGAAAAAGAATCATTTTTAACGTTGAAAACCTTTTTGATGGATTGTGATTCAGACATCTTTTGAGACTCAATATTTTGCCAAAATATTTCTTTCGTGCTTGTCTTTTTGAAATGTTGTTTTCCTTCGAAAATTTGTCAATTTGATCTTAAATTCCTTAGAGTTTAATTTGACAACTTTTTCATTTTCCTTTTCAACACGAATTACTTTCTCTTTTTCAACTTTTGATTTTTCAACCCATTGTTTTTTGTGGTTTTTGTCGTTGAAAAATATATGAATTCTTTGTTAAGTTGTTTTCAACTGTGTTTTGATTTGCGAAAAAACCTTCCTCAGTTGTTTTTGAATTATCCTCCTCAACCATCTTCTTGAACTCTGTTTGATATTCTCAACATTTCCGGTAGTTACGAAAACTTGATTTGGAAAAATGACCATCTGTGCATTTGAAATTGGAAAAACCACCGTGTTTGTTTCAAGATAATGTTCACCTTTTTCATCATTCATCTTTTTCGAACTTTTGTGTATCACCATACACTTGGTCAACAACTATTCGTGGAATTACTTCTTTCTTTGAAGATTTCTTTTCTTTCGAAACTTTCTCTACATCTTCATCATCACTATCATCAGTTTGGTAATCTTTGAGATCCACGAAGTTCATTTCACTAACTTTCGAAGTTGAGGGAATATCAGTTTCTTTCTCAACTATCAAATCCTTAACTTTTTCTTTCCCTTTAGAATTCGAAGCAACATTAACAATAGACAACTGAGAACAATCAACATCTTCAAGCTCACTAATTTCACTAATATGTCAGAATTATCTTCAATATCAGCAAAATTAGATTGAAATCAGATGATGAATTCTCAGTCTTTTTCAAAATGTGAATTTGTTCAGATTTAGTCAAAGTATCATTTACAATGTTAACTAAATCATTCGAATCAAGACATTCATCAACTTTGACAATTCCATATCTATACTTGTCATTCGGAACTTTGTCAAAATCAGCTATTTCTTTTTCACAGTCATACGAAATGTTATCTACCTTAGCTCTTTCATAAGCTAAAAATGGCAGCAATTTTCTATGTTGTTCTTTACTGATTTCGCATGAATGATGAAGTTCAGTTATTTTCCCATATAATCTTTTAGCAGCATTACAGTAAATGTTTCTTTGTGCTAACAACAGTTTATTATCACTAGATAAATTGTCCCTATCAACCATGATATTCGTTATTTGAAGTTCTAGACAATCTATCTTAGTGATTTTCGAATCTAATTTCTTCTGTGTCTCTAGCAATTGCATTGACAGCTTCTTAGCCTCATTGCTAGCAGATACCACAATCGAATCAAAATAAGTAACAGTTTCATCAAAAGATACTAATTCAGAATTATAAGCATGTACTGGAATATTAAAAGATTCAAGAATGTTTCGTACCTTTGTGGTCATTGGTGATTTGTCAGCAGCTTTTGATACGAAGCATCTTCCATGCACTTCGTATGTTTCCTCCTCTGATTCTTCCTCCATTTTTGCAAACATAGCTCCATGGGTTGGATTTCGCATTTCCTCATCATCTGATCCAGATGACCAGATTTGATAAGTACCATCTTCATCCTCATTCGCACCCTTTGCAACCAGAGACAAATTCTTGGCTTTCGCACGAACCTCCTCCAACTTTTCAGCATAGTACGCCTCATCCTTGACCTTATTCTTTCTCTCTCATCCTTCTTTCGAAGCATACAGTCATTAGCAAGGTGATTAGCACCATTGCAATAATGACAATCAATCCCAACATCTCCCTTTAGCTTCTTCTCAGACTTTCCCTCAACAGGCTTCGAATCTTTCATCTCATCTTTCTTTTTCTCTTCCCCAGCACTTTTACTCAGAAAGTTCCCTTTTGTCTCAGACGACTTTGCCTTCGGATTGAAAGGCTTTTTGAAGAACTTTTTCACACGATTGTTTGAATAAAAGGCAACTGCCTCATCATCTGAGTTCATGATGAACCCTTCATCTTCATCCGAAGCATCTTTCTCAGCATCTTTTTCAGAGATCTTCGAAACCAAAGCTAGTGGACCTCCCAACATAGCCTTCGATTCTTCAGCTATTTCGTTCACTTCGCTTTCATGAGTCTTAAGTTGGTTGTACAAGTCATTCAATGTTGACGTATCAAAGCTCTGTTGATTCTTCACCATCATGCTCACACTACGCCATTCCTTTCGAAGTCCCATAACAAATATCAGATTGAATTCCATGGCTGATCTGGTGATACCATATCGATTGCATCGATATATCAATTCATTAAGACGATCGTAATAAACTTCAATTGTTTCACACATCTTTCTGTCTGAAGTCCTTCAGCTCCACTAAACATTGCTTCACAGAATTAACTTTCGTCTTCTCACTTCCCTGAAATTTTCCTTGAGATTGTTCCAGATTTCCTTTGCAGTTGTACAACTCCTCACGTAGTTGTAAACAACTGGAGGCAAAGCTCCTCTTAGCTCTCTTACACACCTTTTCTCCAGCTTTTTCAGACGATCAGATTGATTTTCAACTTCAGAGTTTCCAGAGGAAGAACCAATTGGTTGAACATTCGATGGTGGATTGAGATTGCCAGAAATGCAATTCCACAGTTCTTCATCCAATCCATTGAGATAATCCTGCATACGATCAGCCCACTGATCGTAATACTCAGGGATGAGCATAGGAATTTTGGTGGATGATCCTAGAAGATGAGAAATGAAGTCATGGAATTCAGATTGAATGACGCCATTGTTGTACGGAATAGATCCTTGAGAATTTTTTGAAGAAACTTTGAGAATTTGACAACAAACTGTATGATTCAAATCACAATCACTCTTAGAACACTCGATTCAATGAATTAAGTGCAGAATCGAATCACAGACTTAGATCTAAACAATTTTTCACTTTCAAAAAGTGCGGAAACTTTTGAATCAAAAAGTTGACTCAAAAACCTTTTGAACAAAGTGAAAATCAGATCAGAGATATGATTCCTGCTCTGATACCAATTGATGAGACAATGAATCAAGTATTGAGCGAATTAGAGTGTAAATTCAAAGTAGAATTGAAAGATTTGAACACCGATGTAAATATGATCTGTTTGGCTCTATTACGCTTTTGCAAATTTTACAGAGTACAATGAATATTCTGTAAAGACTTCGTTACTAAGACACTAGTAACCACTCCTATTTATAGAAGAGAAAAGCGTACAAAAAATATACTAAGGACTAAACATGAAGCTTCGAATATTATGCCCTAGTAAAATACATTACAAAAATGTTCGAAGACCCTAAATACAAACTTCGACTATTACAACATTTCGACCCTAACAATGTCTATGATGACCTTGTTCCCACGCAAAGGAATGAGAACCAAATCCACGAGGTAACGCTCCTCAGGACACAATCTCTATAAACCTCTGATGCACAGATGGATCGGTCGTCTGCAATCTCGACCTCTAAAGGACAATCTAACGTGCTTGAAGACTCAACAAACCTCTTGTTGAGTGCAAGAGAAACGAAAGATTAGGTAGCTCCCAAGTCAAATAACATCAGCACTGGGATACCGTTCACATGTAACGATCCTAAAAAGAATAACATGAAACATAAATATCCAAAACTGAAACATAATAAAAAGAAGGGAGAAGAAACATACCGGCACCACATCTGTGCGACACCGACCTCCTCGACGGTCAGCTGGAAGGCTCGGCTCCTCACCACAGGAGCATCTGGCTTGCCCTGTCGACAATCTGTGATCCACCGGGTCGCTGGAGCTGGCGCCGCCACTGGCGGTTTCTCAGATTAGATGGGTCGGTTTCTTGAGGCTTTAAGTATGGGTCGGTTTCTCTGGTTGGATGGGTCGGTTTCTGGGTAAAAACCGAAACCGAACCCGAACTTTCGGTTTTAAAAAAATTCAAACCCTAACCGTCGGGTTTGCTTCGTTTCGGTTTCGTTCGGTTAGTCGGTTTTCCTTTCATATTTCTTGGTATGAGTTTGCTCACCCCTAGCTGCAATGACACTGTTGTTGAGGACCTCGACTTAGGCCAGGTGTCTATTAATTAATTCTCTTGTATTATAAATACTATATTTGGAATCTTTTTAGAGTAACTTAAGGCTATTTGCGCTTTATTTATTTACCCATAATAGCAATGTACTTACCCTTATTTACCCAAAATTCTAGCGAGTGTAAAGTATATTGTTATTAGCTGTAACTTTTCCTTCTTTTATTTACTTTAAAAAACTATGAATATTAGGAATCTACTATTTTTAGTGTGTGTTCTATGAATATTAGGAATCTACTATTTTTACTGTAGTTATAAGCTTGGTCCCTGTATTTCACTCACTATTGCTACTTCGGTCCAAATTTTGCCCCTGCATACTGTTTTTATACTTAAAAAAAAATTTGATTTTTAACAGTTTTGGACCAAACTGCCCCTGCATATTGTTTTTATATTTAATTTTTTTTCTTTTTAACATATTGGATCAAACAGCCCCTGCATACTGTTTTTATACTTAATTTTTTTTTATTTTAACAGTTTTGGACTAAACTTCTCATGCATATTGTTTTTATACTTAAAAAAAATTATTTTAACAGTTTTGGACCAAACTGCCCCTACATATTGTTTTTTTACTTAAAAAAATTTGATTTTAACAGTTTTAGACCAAACAGCCCCTGCATATCGTTTTTTATATACCAACTTTCTATTCAATGTATAAAAAAAACATTTTGTTTTAAACTCCTGACCATTCAAACCCGCGCCAATGACGCGGGTGACCTTCATCTAGTTTTGGTTATTAAACATCTTATATATTAATTTAATTGATTTCCCTTAATTTGCTAGTTTGTGGATAAACTTTCATCGATATCTATCAAACAAATATTAGGCTCATAATTACAATGATAAAGAAGGTATGCCATGTTCAAATTTGGCCCAACAGGCTTGTCATGTTCAAATTTTGCCCAACAAATAACAAAAAAAATATGGAAGGAGCTAGAGATGCATATCGGTGGTCAGACCTGTCTTGGAACCGTCTCGTAGTAGTTCGGTTTTGAAACGGACTGATATTTTTTGGACCGGTTCGGGGCAGTCTTTTTGGAACTGGTTTTGGTCTCGTGGTTTTTGTGTGTCTTTCGGTTCGGTTTTAGGATTTTTTTCGTTTCGTTTTTTTTTCATTAACAAATATGTGATAAACACTACAATAGTACATTAAGATTTAGTAACAATGATATACAAAAATTTAGTAAAAGAAAAATGAAAAGGAAAAATCGGATAATTTGTTGTTAAAAATGTGTAATTGACATAATAATGATATGTTTATAAACTTTGGTTTTTTTTTTTTTTTTTTTTTTTTTTTTTTTTTTTTTTTTTTTTTTTTGAGATCGGTCTTGGGTTGGTTTTGGACAGACATTATGTCGGTCTGGAATGGTCTAATTTTTTTGAGACATGTTTGGAACGGACCTAGTCTTATTTTAAATCCGGTCTGTCTTGTTTTAAAACCGATCTCCAATACTGATTTTTTTTTCTTCGTGCTTCAACTAGAAGAAACACTCAGCCTAACGATATGAATATGTGTTTGGTTTTGTGTTTTAACTTTCATATATGCCCTTGTTAAACATCAAAATATCATATTTACCTAACTTAATTTCTAAATATCATATTTACCCTTCATAAAATTTCTAAATATCATAATATTTGCCAAGAGTAATCCCTTTTAAAAAAAAAAAAAAAAAAAAAAAAAAAAAAAAAATTCTAAATATCATATTTACCCTTCATAAAATTTCAAAATATCATACATGTCATTTTTAAACATCAAAATATTATATATGCCCTTCTTAAATATCAAAATATCGTATATGTACTTTTTAAACATCAAAATATTAATGATAATATCTAAAATATCATCCATCTACAACATGATAATAACCAACAACAACAAAAACTAAACAATCAAAATATACATTCCATAGAGAGGGTTGAAGATGAATCTTTTTGTTTGTCAAGAGGGTGACATTCCAACAATTTAGAATTTCACATTCCATTATCATAGACGTAAGGAAAATATGGTTAAAATTTTTAATTATTATAATAGTTCTACGGTATAAAAAATGATTATAAAATATTAAAAACATTATAAAAAATGATTTGGGCAAATATGATATGATATTGAAAAATTAAACTGGATAAGTATGATATTTTAAAATTTAAAAGGGGTATATATGAAATTCTTTCCTTTTCTTTATTGATTTATTGCTTTTTCGAAAACAATATGTTGAAAAAAGGGTTTAGGAAATCAGAATAGCTTCCGAAAGAAATAACAATAATACCCTTCTCCATCTCTACGCCTCTCACTGCTTCATCCATTCCAGTTCCACCCTCTCTCTTTCGTCTCGTCTTCGTCGCTGCCATCGATCCAGGCAATCGTCAATCGTCTGGTTCTTCCATTTGCTTACAAAACATTTACGGTCCCAAGCTCAATACAAAGTTTACAGGTACGGTTCCCTCCTCAGTTTCACATCTTTTAGTTTTCTCCGTTCTGAAAAAATCGACTGTCAATCTATCAAATGGAATCGCACTTTCTGATTGCTAGGATTATTTCGGAATAATGTTATTGATTGTGGATCATACGTTCTGATTGCTGGGTCTTTTTGGAATCTGTTAGATTAAAAAGGTTTACTTGAATCTGTTAGATTGAAAAAATTGGTATGTACTTTGATTGTAAATCTGTTAGATGCAATAGTATCTTAGTTTTTTCTGTTCTGATCGTGGGTAATTTTTTGAGGGCTTGTTGCTGCGATGGTTGACAAATGACAACAGATTGTATGGTGATGATGCCTAACAAGTGTTTGTTGAAATGCTTAAGCCTTATTTAATTACCCATTCTATAATTCTGATTTTGATTACAATAGATCATGTGAAGTTTGATACTCTTCTATCGGTGAATAACTTGATTTGTATTTTGAAGTAGCCAGGTAAAGTATGCTACTATTTTCAGCAATTCACCCCCATTAACATATCAAAAATGAAGTCAGGGCTTGTTTCTTTTTTTCTCTTTTTCATTAGTACTGTCTGTATAAATAACGTATGTGCTCTGCTCAATATGAACAAACATTGTTTCTTTATTTTGACCAAATAAACCGTTTGAATAACTCAATAACTATAAATGACCATTTTACCCTTGAGTAAATCACATTTATTTCACCGTATTCAACAGATTAGCACTTGCTATTATGGATCTTGATGACATATTTGGTCCTTCACTAAATTTAGAAGACACCCACTTAAACGAAGGCTATCAAGAAGGCTACAACACTGGTTTTGCTTCAGGAAAAGACGATGGACATGAAGTTGGAATAAAAACCGGGTTCATAACTGGTGAAGAATTAGGGTTTTATAGAGGTTGCATTGATGTTTGGACCTCTGTGATTCAAATTCAACCCACATGTTTCTCGACCCGTGTTCAAAAAAAGATTAAAGAAATGGATGAATTGGTGTCAAAATATCCGATTTTGGACCCTGAAAATGAGAACGTAACGGATATTATGGGATTGTTAAGGTTGAAATTTCGGGCTGTTTGTGCAACTTTAAATGTGAAATTGGAGTATAAAGGGTACCCGAAGGCATCGGAACCAAATGAGATTCAGTTTTGAGGAATGTAAAGTGATAATTACATGGCGTTTGGTTTGCAGAATGTTTGTAGAATGAATGAACTCTATTAAAGGAATTTCTATATGAAGAAATTGTAATCTGTTACGTGTTTTGGTTGGTAGGAGTAGGAAACGAAATGAAATTTAATGGTAAAACATGTGTAATTTTTAATTTTTTTACTTGATTTTTTTTTGTGTATATATACAAATGGAGGGTACTTTTGTCTTTTAATGATAAAATATGAAATTTAGTTATAAACTCATTTGGCTAGTTTTGTGGGAGTGACATACCCATATACCTATTTTTAAAAATATGATTGTTTTACTAATAAACTTTTAAAGTCCATTGATTGACAAGAGAAGAAATGAAGTGAAAGTATGTTACCAATTATTGCATTTGTCCTTTTTTGATCTTTGATAGTACGTTTTCTTTATCACCACCTTACAAATTTATCTAAAATTTATCAAAAACTGATTATTTTAAATCTGAGAAGTTGAAAAATGAAGATCATAATCTTTTATGAGAAAACTAGCTATTAAACACATTCTTATTCAACCGAAAATAATTCGTGTCTATTTTGTAAAGTTTGAAACTATCGTGGCCAAACTTGAAAATGGAGAAAAAGGTGCCACCGTAGAAGAACCGCTCAAGTTGAAAAAGTCTACAGGTAATGACAGTGAAGCTAAACAACGCGTCAAGACCCCAAATTTCTTCTTCACATCGATTAAATTTCAACAAATTTTGATTAAATTTCCAATTCAGAATCATCAAATGCTAGCGATGTCGATCCGAATTACATCTCTTCTTCTTGTTTCCCTCGCCGTTGTCTCCGCTTTCTCCCCCGCTGATCACTACCTCATCGACTGTGGCACCACCGAACCCACGGTGGTTGACCTAGACCACCGGACGTTCACCCAAGACGGATCGTCTGCGGTACTCTCAGCAACGAAATCATTCGGATTAAAGAACTCGAACCCAGATCCCAGTTTGTCCCCAATTTATCACACTGCTAGGGTTTTCACGAAGCCCTCAGATTACAAGTTCAAAATCAAAGAAAAAGGGACGCACCTGGTACGTATTCATTTTCATAGATTCGGTTTCAAGAATATTGGTGGTACTTGTCATGATCAATTTCATGTTTCTGCTAATGGATACGTGCTATTACACAATTTCGCTGCCCCAAAAGGAAACCCTATAATTAAGGACTTTTTTATTTGGGTTGATGATGATGAGCTCGTGATTAGGTTTATGCCAGCAGATAGATCTAGTTTTGCATTTGTTAACGCGATTGAGGTGATTTCTGCTCCTAAAGATTTGATTCCTGATGAGTATGTGAGTTCTGATCAAAATGATAGGATTAATATCAGACACGCATATGAGACTATGTATAGGATCAATGTTGGTGGTGTAAAAGTAACTCCTTTTAATGATTCCTTATGGAGAAATTGGGTTCCTGATGATAAGTTCTTGAAACTTTCTGATGCTTCTTTAAAAAGTTACAGTAAAATTCACTTTGATGGTCGAATTCAGTATCATTTAGGTGGTGCAAGCCGTGAAGTTGGTCCTGATAACATGTACAACAGTGCAAGAATGGTTTCTAGTTTGAATGATTCAATCCCAAAACTGAATATGACATGGGTTTTCCCTGTAGAAAAGCGTTTTAGCTATCTTGTGAGGTTACATTTCTGTGATATTGCAAGCATTTCTCTTGGAATGATATATTTCAATGTCTATCTAAATGGGAATTTAGCTTATGAGAATGTGGATCTTTCAACCCTCACAAACTATGTGCTAGCTTCACCTTTCTATGCTGACTTTGTGGTTGACCCTGAGAAGTTTTCTGATGCAATAAGAGTTGAAATCGGGCCTTCAAATTTGAGCAGATCACATGCTGTTGATGGTATATTAAACGGGTTAGAGATATTTAAGATGGATAATTCATGGAGGAGTCTTAATGGTGAAGTGTGTGTTGACCAGTTGGAGTCAAAGAACAGGTCAAATGGTCAAATGAGTCGTTTACTATCATTGACTGGTGCAGTATGTTTGTTGGCAATTGCATTTCTTGTTATGCGAAGAAAAACTGAGGTCAAAGATTCTTTTGGGTGGTCAAGAGTACCCGTTGATGTGTCTGAAATTGATCTTAAATCTAGCTTTCCAAAGTCTAATGGGGTTGAGGTTTAATTTCAAGAATCATACAAAATGAAGAAGAAGATTTGAAGAATGGATTTCAAGTATGTATATCTCTCTCTATACAATGTAAGTTTATAACTTTTCAAAACGAATTTTAAGCTATAGTTCTTGTTTTTTCATTGCAAATTGACCATTGATCTTATGAAAATGACAAGAATGAAAGATTTTTAGACAAACTTCCCATTTTTGTTTGTCTAATTATATGTTTTTTATTTTCATAATCATAAGAATGATGGTCTCTTTGTGACGAAAATAAAAGTTGTTAGGGTTTGTTTTTGAAATAGGTATTCCTGCAGAGTTCTTGTTCATGCAGTATATAAGTTATTGGCTTGTTATGTTCTTGATTAATACGAATGCAACTTTGTTGTAGTAATTATTTTAAAGTATGTACTAATAATTTAATATTATATCCCATGAAAATTATACTGTTTCTGTTTCTGTGTCACCCATGAAATATTTAAAATATCAGTAAACATCGATCTCCATCATGGAGCGACACATCTATTTTACTGCTTTTGTCCGAAAAGATCCTTGTGTTTTTATTCAAATGTGTCCAAATTATATGTTTAATGCGTACATCGTAAATCACTATATTAAAAGTAAGCTTACTATTGTAATTATAGTCTTTGTAATAAAATTTACTATAATAATTGTTAATAAAAAAAATTAAAAATAATACAAAAAAGTTTGTTTTGGGTAAACCACCTATCTGTCACCTCATGTATGTAGTAATAGTCGGTATAAAAAAATTAAAAATAAAATTTACTATAATAATGGTGAGCAAAATTTTGTTTAAAGTATATTTCTTTTTAGTTGTATAAATTAAGGACTTATTAAGGTAATTAAGTTTCAAAATTGTTCAAAAAGTACTATTTAAGTTTAGTAATAGTCGGTATTAAAAATACCAATAAAGTAAGGCCGGTGTACACAAAATGTCATACAATTGCATGTTTTGTTCAAATTACACCTTACGATTGGAAAAATATCTTAGGAAGGTAACTAAGTTTCAAATTTGTACAAAAAACATCATTCAAGTTTTGTCAATACAAAAAATACTCAAGAAGTAAAGCCTTTGTACGTATAATATCCCATCCAAATTTTTTTTTGAACTGACAAATCTAATCTACTCCTAAGCTAACAACACCTATTCCATCTACGTCCACAATGGGACTTGAACCCTCGGCCTTTAAAGAGGGAAGACACCACCTGATACCGCTGGGCTACAAGCCTTTTGGTTTATCCCATCCAAATATACGTTTTGTTCATATCACACCTTATACTAACTTGGTTGCTTCATTGACATATTTAATGCTTAGTTGACATATTAATTGACATATTGTGGTTGCATACCCTTCATATCGTGTTATATTCTAACTTTTAGACCTCCACTCCCTGTGTCATGATTATATTTTAAGCAAGATAAAGTACCACGATTATTAGTAAGAGAAAGTGTCACATTATAAAGACAATGTTCATGAGATCAAAAATATTTTTTTGGATGTCTGATTAAGTTAATTTACATCATAAAATTCATTTCTACACACATTGTTATTCAACTATGAAACAAAAAACATATAAAATTCTTAATGTGAATAATGAGAAAACTATCAATAGCCATTGTATAATATTAAATTACAATAAAATTCAGATTATGTTGCTATAATATCAGCATCAAAGCATATGCCGTGTAATAAAAAACAATTTGTGCAAAAGAATGAGGATTCACGCACAATCAGACAATAAAGTTCAGCTTCTTACGTGTATCCAACTTGATCTCACACATTCTCCATTAGTCTATTAGTCCGTTATTTTAAGAACAACATTCACCTCTCAATAGAAGGATGCATCAAAGAAAAATAAAATTAAAAGTCAAAATAAGCAAGCTTTAAGACTATTTGTAACTCCCATAATTAGAAAAAGCTCATTATTATACATCGACAAAAAAAATTTTAAACAGCAAATGAGATATATATTAAATTAAAACAACTACACTTAGCAAGACACTAAGGAGCAAAATGCAAAGTACATAACGGTTCAAAATGACAGTTACATAATAGAATTACAATGAGAGAAATGTGATATGCTCCATTCCACCCAATTCCCACACACGAGTTTACTTCTATGTTTGCACCACAAGTAGGAGATGGAAATAATATTGTCTGCCACATTTGTGTGAGAAATTTTCAGCTCCTTAAATACTTTGTCATTTCTTGCTATCCAGATGTTCCAGAGTAAATTGAAGAGTATTCGTTTCTTTGGACAGTTCCCCCAAGATGCTGCAAAGTCGATGAACTCCTTAATATGAAAAAAAAATCTTGTGTTTTGATACCACACCATTTGAAGATCCACTCACGGGTCCCTTTTGCAAAATCACATTTAACGAAGAGGTGGTCGACAGATTTATGCTCTTTGTAGCAAAATTCACACAATTGGTTGGGGATTGATACACCTCTTTCAGCTAATGTCATTGCTACAGGAATTTTAGACAATGAAGCTCATCATATGCAACATCGAACTTTTAGTGGTACCTTTTTGTCCCAAAAGATAGGTGAACCATGTCGGGGGTTGATTTTTGCATCTATGCATCTTCGCATGGTGTTGACAAAGTAAGATCCGTCTGAATTTAATGTAAATCTGAAACCATAGGGGGATTGACGTGGGATCTCCATAGAGCCAATACATGAGTAAATTGCCATAGCTCAATTAAGGTTGCGACATCATTTGGGTCTTGTTTCCAGTTCCAAGTAAACCCCGAGGCTGACATCCTCTCCTCTAGCCTGCAATATTTTACCTTTTCTTTATTGTATAGACCTGGGAATCGATCTTGAAAAGGGGAGTTACCGCACCAGGTATCCTTACAGAAGAGGATATTGGAATCACATCCAGGAGTCAGCTTGAATAATATGTCCTGGTCAATTTTAATCTCATCTAAGTGGCGAATCGCCTTGTATATTTTGCACCACACCCCTGTCGACGTTTTCCTTGCAATGTACGTTACGGGTTTCTTTTTTAGGCTGTGAATGCTTATTATCGCCTCTCTCCACAGTTGATCTCTTTTGTTTTGTAGC